CAGCCGCTGCTTCAAACTGGCGGTGGTACATCGTCCAGGTGGTTTGTCCATCGTAGGTCGGGGCCTTGAGGTTCACAGTTCCATAAACGCCAGGTGTAGTGATGGGCAAAACTGTTATTTTTAGATAACAGTTGAAACTGTTATAGTTATTTATAAAAAATAGCTTAAAATAACAGCTTAAAAATAACAGGTTTCTTTATTTTATTGCTAAATATCTGAAAGAATATGAGGCGGTCACCGCCAGGCGTATTAACGCAGTTGCAACAATGACGTGCTCGGTGGTAGTATTTCCAGGGTGTCATAACATTTCTAAATATCGATTGTTATCTAAAATACCTCTCTAAAAACGGGGGTTGTTTACAAATAAGCGCTGTTTACAAATTGCGATATAAAAAAGCCAAAATGCCGCCACTCGTCTATATCTATAAATTCCGATCTACCTACGCCCTACCCCTCGATCCGCGTAGATTCTGAATTGCGTAGCAGTGTACAGGGTGCATCTCACTCGACGGGCGAGAAGCTCTTCGTTATGATTTTACCATTTGCGGTCAAAAAATAGCAATATAAGAAAATGTGTAGTATATTCTTCATAAGTAAACCAACTACACACTAGAGTTCGAATTAATTTTACACTTAAACTAGCATGTACAGTTTGACAAATATAGGAAGAGACTTGGGGATAGCACCGGTCGCGCACACGATAGAGAGAGAACGCATTCGGCGGAAGAGAGATGCAGTTACGCTACGAAAAATCTGATTGAAGCAAATTTGTGGGATGTCCACTGCGCATCGGGGGGCGTCTCTTATTTTATATTTCTCACGTCTCTAGCTATACTTGTTAAGTTGTACCCGCGACTTCGTTCGCATCGAATTATTAATTTGTAATGGTGATGATAAAGCAAAGCAAGAATTTCCATTAACATACAAACTGGATAAAATTTTCTCACATTTGCCAAAAATATGCTTTAAACGTCGAGCAGTTTAAGCAGAATCGTGGTTAATCAATTACTCAACTTTTTGGAACACCCTGTATTATTTTTTAAAAAATTTCAAAATATGTAAAAAAACAAAATAAATTATGCGTGTCCAATCGTTTTCCCGAAAGACTAACCGTTTTTTAAATAATAAATATTGTAATATTTGAGGGGCGTTTTCACCCTCTTGGAATTTGAGATTCGAGAAACCCCTCCTTATCGCACCTCTACACCCCACAGTCAATCCGTTTACCAAAAATCAGCTTTAAACGTCAAGCAGTTTAAGCAGAATAGTGATTACTCAGTGGTCATATTTTATGAAACACCCTGTATATATTTTGTAAAAATCTCAAAATATGTAAAACAACAAAATAAAATATACGTGTTTAAGAGTTTTTTCGAAAAACTCACCAGTTTTTAAATAAAAAATATTCTAATATTTGAGGGTGGTTTCACCCCCTTAGAATTTGAGTTTCGAAAAATCCCTTCTTATCGCACCTCTACACCCTAAAGTCAATCCGTTTTCCAAAAATCAGCTTTTTACGTCAAGGGCTTTAAGCAGGATCGTGATTAATCAATGACCAGATTTTTCAAAACACCCTGTATACATTTTTAAAAAATCTTAAAATATTATTCTGAAAATTTTTCAGAATAAATAAATACTTAAATATTGAAACTTAATAACAAAGTATTGAAACATACAGCGCCATAATATCTCGACCTCCGCCCGTTATGCTCGTAACAGGTTGAAAAACAATATGTATCTAAAACAACTGATGCGTTATTCTCCAACCTGTTTCAAACCTCCGATTATCTCGAACGCCGTTCTGTTATGCTCGTAACAGGTAAAAAAACAACATAGCTAAAACAACTGATGCGTTATTCTCCAACCCGTTGCGAGCCTCCATCGACAATCGACCGATGCAGCAGCGCTCCTTTCCCACTCCTGTTATCTCGACAGCCAGGCGTTATGCCCGCAACTGTTTCAAAAAAGCTGCTTCTTTTATATCCTATTATTTTTAAGCTGTTGTCAGCCCAACACGACGCGCCGCGCCGTAGCGCATACCCCACTCCGTTGTCCGTTGTATCTCGCCGCCTGTATCGATGGTTGTCGAAATAATAGGTTTTCCATCCATACTAGTTGTTTTTTGGAATTGCTTCGAGCAGCATCGAATTTCGTGGCGGTGCAGAGCGCTGACTTAGTTTCACGAACACTCGATCTCTGCGTGTTGTTATTTTATATCTGTTATTTTTTAAAAGCAGTAACGGTTGCGTTATGTTATTTCTAAATAATTGTTATAAAATAACAGATAGTTAAATAACAACCCATCACTAGCCAGGTGTCCTTACTTGTACCTTGGTCTTCTGTAGGTCCATCTCCAATTTTTCCATTTTCTGCTGAAGGCGTTCCTCCAGATCTTCTACGACTTCTTGGAAATGGTTCTCCTGTCGTTTTTCCAGATCTTCAAAATTCTTCTGTAGTCGAAATTCCTGATTTTTCAAAGTTTTCTTAAGACGGTCCTGATCTTCTTGTCTTTCCCTGTGACGTCGCTCCTCCACACGAATTTCCAAATTTCCTAATATTTTCTCAAGCCGGTCCTGTTCTTCTTGTTTGTCTTGTTGTCGTTGTATTTTTAAATCTTCGAAAATTGTCTCAAGCCGGTCCTGTTCTTCTTGTTTGTCTTGTTGTCGTTGAATTTTTAAATCTTCGAAAATTTTCTGAAGCCGGTCCTGTTCTTGTTTTTCTTGTTGTCGTTGAACTTTCAAATCTCCGAAAATTTTCTCAAGCCGGTCCTGTTCTTCTTTTTTTTTCTTTCTGGCGACGCACTTCTAGGTTTTCTACAATTTTCTCCAACCGTTCTTGTCTAATTTCTTGATTTTCCATAAGCATTTTCTGCAGTTTTTCTTGTTCTTCTGCTTTCTCTCTTCGCATATTCTCTATAAAATCGCCCAATAATTTGCTTACTTCCTCCATTTTCCTCGCTTGTTCTCTCGTACCAATCATAAAAATACTCTAATTCGGTCTAAAAATCTTCCAATCCACTTAATTTCTTCTTAAAATCCTCTTGAATCGCACTTCCGACACCAATTGTTACGGATTCCGTGGGTCCACTATTTAAACTCACTATAAAATACTTAACGAATTTATTTGTCTCACTCTGTACACACAACTTATACTATTTACAACACAATTTATGCAACTACTATTACTCTAACGATATTTCGCGGTATTATCAAACTTCAGACTTCAGACTATCTTCAGACTGCTCCAACTGTCAAAGCGTGGGCCTTATATATCCCCTGGCGATGGTTTCTGGAATTTTCTAAAGAATTCTGTAATTTTCTTTTACTTTCTGTCGAATTCGCCAGGTTCCTCAATGCACCGTTGCGGTTATGCAACCAGTAATACACCTTGACCTTAACAATATTAAATTAAAAATAAAACGTAAAAATCTTTAAAAAAATATATAATAAATATATTATTTCCCAATTTTTCACTAAGATTCTTCTCATAAATCCATCACAATCTGGCAGCGCTGTCGCCATCGCTTGTCACTCAAAGTTCAAAATTGATCGCGTGCGGCGGAAATTGTTTTGCGATTACTTTATGTGAGTTATGAGGTCTGTAACAAAGTTACTAGTTAATTGTTGATATATTAATGGCCCAACACTGGCTGCAGGACTATTCGAAAAGCCCTCTTTTTTAGTATAAGTTCTAGTGGAAAATTCGGCAATACTGCATAGAAGAAATGTATTAGCACCCACTTTTTATTTTGCTTTAAAATATTTGAATTTCCATTAGGATCTCTTAAAAAAATCCTCTGGTTATTTTGCCAATTGCACTGTATGAAAGTCCAGACCGACGATTTGGGAAGACCAGGTCTGTATATGTCACTGTAAATGTCCGAAATGCGGTAAAATCTAGGATAAGCGCGCTAAATCTAGGATTTACCAAAAGCAAATGGTAAAAGCTCGAAAACTTCTTTATTTTGCTTCCATTTCGGACTTTTACCGGACCCAAACAGTAAATCTTAGGATTTACCACACCACATTGGTAAAAGTATGAATTATTTTTCTTATAGCAACAATATCGACAAATTAAGGATGTCGATATACAAAGACATCTCTGTTTTTGTTTACTTAGGCATTGAAATTTTAATGATTATCGTTTCACGATATCGATTTTTGTAACGTATCAGTCGTATATTTGTTACTGTAAATGTCCGAAATGCGGTAAAACCTAGGATTTACCGAAAGCATTAACTAATTAGGTTAGCCTGGTTATTTGGAGGGTGCTAATGCATTGGTTAGCCTGGTTATTTGGAGGGTGTTAATGCATTGGTTAGCCTGGTTATTTGGGAGGTGTTAATGCATTGGTTAGCCTGGTTATTTGGAGGGTGTTAATGCATTGGTTAGCCTGGTTATTTGGGGGGTGTTAATGCATTGGTTAGGTGGTTATTTGGAGGGTGTTAATGCATTGGTTAGCCTGGTTATTTGGAGGGTGTTAATGCATTGATTAGCCTGGTTATTTGGAGGGTGTTAATGCATTGGTTAGCCTGGTTATTTGGGGGTGTTAATGCATTGGTTAGCCTGGTTATTTGGAGGGTGTTAATGCATTGGTTAGCCTGGTTATTTGGGGGGTGTTAATGCATTGGTTAGGTAGTTATTTAGAGGGTGTTAATGCATTGGTTAGCCTGGTAATTTGGAGGGTGTTAATGCATTGCTTAGCCTGGTTATTTGGGGGGTGTTAATGCATTGGTTAGGTGGTTATTTGGTGGGGTTGGTATGGTTTTTACTACCACTTGTTTATTCGTGCTTTTACCAATGCGGTGTGGTAAATCCTAAAATTTACAGTTTGGGTCCGGTAAAAGTCGGAAATGGAAGCAAAATAAATAGTTTTCGGGCTTTTACCACATTTTTTTGGTAAATCCTAGGTTTAGCGCGTTTATCCTAGGTTTTACCGCATTTACAGTAACATATACATATAACAATTTGTTTACTCATACACAATTTCTGTTTCAACAGAAGTAAATCAAGAGAAAGTAGAAGATCACGATCAAGGGAAATTAGAAAAGAAGTTCGTAAAGTAAGGAGAGAAAGAGAGAAAAGTGAAACACCAAGTGAAGATGATAAAAAGAGGAAAAAGGAGAAGAAAAAGAAGTCACATAAAAGGTAAGCTGTCATATCATGTGCTCCTATTTATTCAAATTCTAGTTATATGACACTGAATTATTTGCCTAAGGAAGAAGAGTTTCAACAAAATTGACTTGTATTTTTTTTTCAGGAAACATTCTGAATCCAAGAGTTACAAATCAAGCCGGAAGGTTAAGAAGCATAAGCATTCTCGATCGCGATCTAAATCCAAATCAAGATCTAGATATCGCTCCAAGTCTTCATCTAAATCAAGAAGTAGAAGTCATAGTAGATGTTCACATATTTCAATTGACAGCTGATAATTATGATCAGTTTGTGTCTCTACCATAATTCTAATAGATTTAATATTTTTGTAATCTTACAAAAATATTACTGTAAATATTATTTATGAATGAAGTTTGGTTGAGGTGTTATCTAAAAATATCTTGATATAAGTACATACATTTCTTTTTGGACTGAAAACTGAGCTAACAGATAAGTCGTAAAATAATTATGGAATAACCAAGCTTATTAAGGCAAGTACAAAATAGAAATGAACGGTGTTTTCCAGATTTCTATTAAATAATTTCGTATTTTTAATTAAATTTGATTTATATTATCACAAATAATTAGGTTTTTATTGTAATCTTAAATCTACTTTTAATTCAACAGATGTCCCCGGATTGTCTTTACAAGAGGAAAACCTTTTTTATTATTGACATGAGAAAAATGATTTTTGAAAATTTTGCTTGTTTTAGAATGGTTAATCCGTTTATAATTTTCCAAATTGCCATATCGTTTTAGAGAAAATTAAAAAAAAAAATCCGTGGTAATATAATTTCGTTTTCATTCTTTGATAGATTGTCATCGATGGTAAAGTATAAACTAAACTAACCATTTTAGAAGAATGCATCTTTCTCAAAATTTCAATAATAAAAAAGTTTTTTCTCTTGTAAAGACAATCCGGGGACATACTGTATACTTAATAACCACATATTAAATTCAAATCATTGAATAAAAAGACTAAGGAAGGAGCATATCAATAACGAAAATGGCGCGCCCGCGATTGCATATACAGGGTGAGTCTTAAATAAGTGCAAATATTTTCAGGGGTGGTATATTTCGACCCCAGGAACACGTCTATGAGTTTTTTTCGCAAAAAAAGATGTTGAAAATCGTGCATTTTCTTTTAAATTTCCCTCTATATTTTTCGAAAGCTTTTTAGAACTGCCTGTTCACCGCAAATTTTCCCACGGTATATTTTCTTAAGCCCCGTTCTCAGAACAGCGACACATCAAAAGAACCAATCGGATTTGTACAAAATTCAAACAGCTGTCAATTTTAAATTTAGTACAGCTCCCATTGGTTGTTTGATATGTCAAACTGTGTCGCTCGCGACACGACGTTGTTCTGAGAACGGGGCTTTAATCTCTGATATTACCATAGTTACCGCTTTACTCTATGGTTACGGCAATAAAATGGATGCAAATACAGAAAAAATCCGGTGGCTCTCAAAATTTTTTGAAAAAAAAATATTTTTTTTTAATTTTCAAACTTAAATAACTAGGTTATTTTGGACTTATCTGAAAAATGGTAAAGAGAAAATATGTTTCTTTTATCGAGATCTACCAGCCCTGAAAATATTTGCACTTATTTAAGACTCCCCCTGTATATGTCGATATGATCGTCTTGTGTTTCATTAGTGTTCTAATTTTATTTAAAACCTGTTAAAATATAAAGTCACGTAAACGTCAACAATTTGCTAGGTTTGTTCTACGCATAGATAAAAGAAACAAGTTTAGATTGGAAAGTGCCCATAAGGACAATGTAAATACTATCCTTACAACGGTCGCTCTCCAAAGCTTTTGATAATTTCGGAGCGGTTCGGTTTTTTTCCGGAATTGTGTCGCCAAATATTGTTTATTCAAATTTATTATTATTTTCTTTTAATTTTTTAAATAAAATACAGTGTGTTGCATATAAGAAACTTTTTTTATATAAGGACATGTATGAAACATTGGAAACCGACGTTATACCACGATCCACGATAGTTTTTGCACTTTACAGTTCACACAGCTTTTTAAGTTTTTAATGCCACTTTTTCACAATTATCACATGTTTGAGTAAATAAAATTTTAATTAAACTCACAAGATAGCGATAATTACTTGAAGAATGGACGCTTTAAACACTTTTCGGTATTTGTTCAATGAGGCCGGTTAAGATTTTATAATTTTTAAAGATTCTGACTTTGACAAGAGAAAATTATTTCTGTTCTTGCTTGGCGGTTGTTCTTAGCAAGAACCCCCTACTAACTTCCCTACAACGTATGCGCTTTAAAACAATGAGTTTTGGCGGCCAGCCGAGCATTCCAATCTATACTTGTTTCCTTTATCTATGGTTTGAGTCAATAAAAAATGTTATAAGATATCTCGCTATCTATAATATTATTAACAAATAGGAAATAGTCGTGGCGAAATTGCAAAAATGAAAATATTATTATTTAACTCTATATGTCTGTAATATATGAAAACAAAGATATTATTTGACTTTTTCCTGTTAGTGTTTTTAATCAATGATGATCGACAAATGATTTTTAGAAATTTAAGTCAGTCATAATATTTATTTTAAACAAAAGTTATTCTTGTGTTACAGGAAAATGTAATTGATAATACTTGTTTTATTATACTTTTTTGTTTCAAATAAAATAGGGAGCATATCTTACTATGAAATATTTTCTTGACTTATATTGTGAGCAATATAGAATGAATACAATAAGTAAACAACACTGTAAAATCGGAAGGGAAGTTTTTTATAATGGCAATCAAGTTTAGACGTAAATATATTCCTTTATTATTTTTTGTAATAAAAAAGTTCTACAATAATAACAAATACACTATGTAAAAAGTAAATCTATCTTTCACTGGAAGGTTATATTAATGTATGTACTAACTAATTATCTGTCATATTTCTCTTCATTAGACCTTTTCAAAGCTTCCCGTTCTGCTGCAATTTTTGCATGCTCTTGTGCAATTTTTTCAAATAGTTCAAAATGCTTATTTTTTGCATATTGGACAGCATTAGACTCTACTGGGGCAAATGCGCGCTAAAATAAATATAAAAAAATAAACCAGATATGACTGGGCGCGTTCAAGGACGGTCAGCGGCCGAGTAAGCGATTTCCCTAAACAGTCTCTTTTTACACACAAAAACAGTCAGCCGTTGTGTTCCCTGAACGCGCACATCCAAAGATCGTTAGGCGCATAGAGAAGGTTTTCGAATGTTCTCGTATGTACTAGTCCATTCTAGTGGGTCTCGATTCTTCTCGAACGAATGAATCATTGCGGTGTCTATGCGATGTTAAGGTCATCCGAGGGCGGGCCATATTGTGAGGTTAGGTCGAGTCCACACCGGCTCGCAACACTACGTTGCTTTTTATCATTTTCCAAAATTTTTTTGTTATATGTTTAAATCATAATTTTTTTGCAAGGACAGACAAAACATCTAAATAAAGGGAGACAAAACAATTTACATTTTATCGCGATCACGAACCGTGTTCCGCAAAAATCGATGATGACAGATTTACGCGGTATGTGATAGAATACGGTTCGAGTTCCAAATGTTATTATTGTTATTAATGTTTTTTGGGTACCTACAGAAACGTTAACCTAAATATTTGTATAGGTATATAACTTTAATTAATATACATAGATTGTGCCAGGATTATACCTTTGAAATTATTTTTAGTTTTCTAATTAAATTATATTAGGGAAATTACAATGACAACTAACGGCATAGCTGTGGATTCATCTTTACTACGAAATTGTCGAAATATGTAGGAATTACGCTGACATTTAACGTTTTCATTTGTTTTCATTCAACTTATATTTGACAGCGCGCCGTTGTGAGTTTTCTGCGGTAGTTGAAAGTTTTTGTAGCTTTTGAACAACTTTCTAATAATTATTAGTGTTTATTGCAAAGAAAACTATTTAAAGTAGTTTTTAACTATCTATGATGGTTCGCCAGTGCATATTTTTTAAAAAGGTGGACTATTCTAACCCGGGAATTGATATTTCGACGGTAAGTGTCATTACGTTTTTTTACCTTTAATAGCGTATTTAGATACTTTTAGTTATATGTAAGTAGATTATTACAAAAATACGTATATTTTCTTATTTGTTGGCGCTTTCGATTGTGAAATTAGAGTTACCCTCAGTTAGACCTCAGGCAAAACTAGTTATAATGGAAAATTGGTCTGAGGCAATCCCAATCAATTTTTGATAAAATTCATCAATTTTTGATAAAAAAAAACATCACGCCACCGTCGCGCCACTGATAGAGGCAAATGACAGAAAGATAGACGAAACTCAACCATGTTGTCATATTTATGTACCCATCTCTTTTTAACTTTCATAAAAGTGTCAAACCATGTATGATTCTAAAAAATTGAGTTTTATGAATGGAGTGTTCTGTCTACCCATTTAGATGTCGTTGGGACAGACTATTAATTTGTAAATAATAATATGTTGATAAAAAAATATTACCTGTGGTAATCGTTGATGTGCATCCGCAATTATAGAATACTGTAAAAGATGTTTTTCTTTAGCTGCAGCAACTGCAGGAGTGTCTCTAGGCAAAGTTGGAATATTTCTATTCAGAATCGGATGAAATCCGTTTTCATCAGCTATATAGTCAACTTTATGAATTTGAAATTTCGGATCTACATAGGAATAAGAACCTAAAAATAATTGTTTTATTTGTTTATTCTAACAGAAAAAAAACTAGGAACTTTACCATAACGATTGTTCTTTAAAAGTTCTATTTTTATATTATTAGATTGTTAATAATATTTCAATGATTACTATAGATATTATGCAATAAAGAACATTTCAAGGTCTACATACCCTCAAGGTAATATAGGTATGATGAAGAATAATTGCCTATTTATTATTTAAGATTTACTTATTATTAGAAATGACTTTCTGAAAAAAATCGACTTTAAAACTATACCGGGTGCGTCTTAAAAGTGGCTCACCTCTATAACTTTTTTATTTTTTCAGATAAAAAAACGAGATTTGGTATGTTAGTATATGACATAAATTAGGATTGATTGACGTATTCAATTATTTTCACTTAAGTCACTTCCTGTCTGACCGGAAATGACTACAACTTTTAATTTTTAAATGACACCCTTGGTATTTCTTTACTTCATTTGACAGAAAATGACATTCTGAATAGAATGACTTATGTCAATTTTTGATATTTTTAATTAAAAAAAATAGTTTTTTAAATTTGAATTTAGAGTGCCATAGCCATAAATGTGACGACAATTTGACTCGCCCTAAATACCAAGTGTGTGGTACCAAATTATTCGTAAAAAATATTTTTCCGAATATGCTAATGAGCCACCCTCGTTCCATTTGAAACAATTGAGATATGATTAATAATACAATTTTAAAGAAGCCACGACACAAAAGAACATTAACGATTAAATCTATTTTCCCGAGGCTCCTTGATTAAAAATTAGTGTTTTTAACATAGCCATGGCTCTAGACTAAAATTTAAAATACGATTTTTTTTAAAGCAAAAATGACATATGATATGTCATTCTATTCAGAGTGTCATTTTCTATCGAATAAAGTAAAAATAAATACCGAGGGTGCCATTTAAAAATCAAATGTTGTGGTCATTTCCAGTGAAACAGGAAGTGACCGAAAACAATTGAATACGTCAATCCTTATAATCCCAATTTATGTCATATAATAACACCAAATCTCGTTTTTTTATCTGAAAAAATAAAAAAGTTATAGGGGTGAGCCACTTTCCTAACACTTTTAAAATAATTATTGTATAATAATTTTTTTTCGTATGCTCACTATTTAAACCCTTGTATTTGTATATACCGGTTACAGTTGAGGGTTGGAACCTTTGGTGTTAAACAGCAAAATAAAAACACTAAATCACCACAATACACCAAAACACTTTTACTTTTACACTGGACGCGCGTTTCGCTAACCATGTTAGCATCATCAGCAGATGATTATAAACTAATACAGTTTATAATCATCTGCTGATGATGCTAACATGGTTAGCGAAACGCGCGTCCAGTGTAAAAGTAAAAGTGTTTTGGTGTATTGTGGTGATTTAGTGTTTTTATTTTGCTATACCGGTTGTTTACGATATTCCCCGATAGTGGCAGCACTGGCGGAGAATGCACCGAGCCTATAGTTTATTAACAGTTTGCTGAGATATAGAAATTTTTATTAAGAATACTATATATTTCTTAAAAATTTCATATAAACATTTTCCATATTTGTGTGCAAATCTTCTTGAACGCCGTTTTTTTTTTCTTATAGCTGGTTGCCCATTAAACCATTTTTTAGGTTTTATTTTTAAAACGGGCCACACATTATACGATTTATCGTACTACAAGTTGTACGACACCAAATCATTTCAACCGTTGGATCAATGGTTGGATAGTTAGTGGCCATAGACGTTAGTGGCATTGTAGTACAACTTGCAGCTCGACTCTGTGTACAGCATGCATAAAATCTGTAGTCTGTTTATACAAAGCAGTAGCTCAAGTAGCTGGCAGTAGTAGATACGATAGGTTTGATAGTTTGTGTTGATACTTCTTGTTGAAACGAAATCTAAACATTTTTCGTAGCAAATTAAGTACAATACAGTTCATAAAAATTGAAAATAAAAAGTTTTGGTCAGAATTTATCAAAATATATCGTTCCCGTGCATGGTGTGTGGGATGTAAAAAATTAAGAATACTCAAAAAAAAATTAAAGAAGTGCATGTTATGAGAATCTGTTAGAAAAATTAAAAGAAATAAAAGCAGATGCTACTTTGGAATATTTGATTACAATTTTTGGGAGGGTTTTTCATCTTCAACTAAAAAAACTACCACAATTGCAGCTATTGTCCTTTTTGACTAACACAAAGCCACGGCGAACAGAACAGAATCAACTGGGAAAGAAAAAACTTTAGAACAAAATCAACTGGGAAAGGATTTATTGTACGATAGACATTAAACTAGTAGTTTAAGTTCGTGTACAACAGTGCATCCGATCTGTCGTTCAAACGGTCTATTCAAATTTGTGTTGTACAACCTGCAGTACGATAAATTGTATAATATGTGGCCCGTTTAAAAACTAAGTTTACCTCGTTAATATATTATTAGAAAAACTTAAATTTACTAACTTACCTTGGATTACCCCGGATCCATCAGATACCTCAGAATGAGTCCTGTCTATGTGTCCAGGGTATCTACCGGCAGCATATCCGAAAGCGTAGGGTTTAGGTGGGGGTGGAAACGTGGAAATTTCATTTTCAAACACAGAAACGGCTAAAGCACTACTTAAAATTGTGCTTATAAGATGATAATATGCAGGTATAGCTAACTGAAATATTAATATTTAGAATAAAGTTTAAAAGAATATATCAACCTACTTTTTTGTACATTATTAATTCAAAAATAGTTTTGCTAGTGGGTAAAACGTTTCACAAATTAATTTTCGATACTGAACTCTTGTTCGCGTTAAAATTAATGAAAAAACGTGAAAAGTGAAAGTTCAGCCGAACAAAATAACACGTTCTTTAATACTCGATCCTATGTATATTTTAATCGATGATCTTGAACCAAATCAGCAAGATTTTTACGACATCCTTTGCGTATTAATCAGCTACCTAAATAATTATACAGGGTGGAAATACATAAGTGCAAAAATATGGGCGGTATATTGTTCTTTAAAAAACAAGGGGCGTTTTTTAAATGTCCTCAATTTGGCATTTCTTTACAAAGTGATATGGTTCTACAGGGTGAATCAAAAAGCACAATATCATTAACTTTTATGCAAAGATGCTTCACACCATTTAAATACAGGGTGAGTCATAAATAAATGCAAATATTTTTAGGAGTAGTATATTTCGACCCCAGAAACACGATTATGAGTTTTTTTTTCGCGGAAAAAAGATTTTGAAAAATTGGACTTTTTTTTGAAATTTTTTAGTTTTTAGTTAAAAAACATAATTTCTTCGTAACATGACAACATAGGTAGTAGATTAAATTGACAAGAAAGAAAACCTAGAAAAGATCCAGTTGTTCTCAAAATTTAAGAAAAAAAAACATACTTTTTTGGAAATTTTTAAAATAAAATAACTCGGTTGTTTTGTACTTATTTGAAAAACAGTAAAGAGAAAATATGTTTCTTTTATCGAGATCTACCAACCCTGAAAATATTTGCACTTATTTAAGACTCACCCTGTATTTCAAGTTGCAATTTTTTATGTGGATGTCGTAAATCCATGCTTGGTTTTACCCTTGTTTGTATGTTCTACAAGGGTTTTACATAAAATGATTATTTTTTTTGCCTATGTCAAATATTTTACTATAATTTCATCTCTACTAATTTTGAAATAAATAAAAATATTGTAAAACCGCCAATTTAGAAACTATTTTGATTCTAAACATTTTTTTTCTACCTAGAACTGTTAATAAGATACAAAATTAATTATTATGACTTCCATTAGAACTACACCTGTCCGAGATGTAGCTGGCGTTAGGTATACACAAAGGTTAAATAAATAAATGCCTTTATTTGTCAAAAATTTTTACAATTTGTAGATAAAGGTAAAGTAAACAAACAAACAAACAAAAGAAAATACAAAACAAGTATACAAATTACATTGTTAGTCTTATTGTTTAAAATAAACATTTATAAATGCTTACAATGTCAAAGCATAAAAAAATAAAAATAAGGTTCAAAAATATTTTGAAAGTTTATAGTAAATATAGTAATAGTGTGGTAATAGCCTTAGCAAATATTAGACCAGTGTTTACAAGATCAAATTCGATTATTAAAATATAAGACATTTACGGCGTAGAAAGCCTTGTCGCCTTGTCTAGTAAATATAAGATTTCAATGCTTTGCGAAATGAAGAAAATGATGTTATGGATTTGATTTCAAATGGCAGGTGATTGTGCATCTTTTTCGACTTGTATAATTTTGAACTTTTGAGTAACTCTTAGTGTGCGAACACAGTGCAAGCAGGTTTGCCGCTTACCGGTAGTCGGCGAGGATCTGGGTACCTATTCTTGACATCGTTCGCAACTTTGCGTATAACAGGATGTCCCAGAAATAAGTGCAAGTATTTTAAGGGGTGGTAGATCTCGATAACAGAAACATATTTTCTCTTTATCGTTTTTCAAATAAGTCCAAAATAACGGAGTTATTTTACATTAAAAATTTCCAAAAAAAATGATTTTTTGCTAAAATTGTGAGAACCACTGAATCTTTTCTGGATTTTCTTTCTTGTAAATTTAATCTACTACCTATGTTGCCATATTAACAAGAAATTATTTTTTTAAATAAAAACTAAAAAAAATTCCAAAAAATTCCGATTTTTAAAAAAAAAATTCGCGAAAAAAACCTCATAGGCGTGTTTCTGGGGTTGAACTATACTATATACCAGTTAAGTTAAAATACTTGCACTTATTTCTGAGACACCCTGTATAATAAGTAAATAGTAGCGCCTTATAACCTTGAAAAATTAAAGCGTGTTATCAAATCGGCTAGTTCCAAACGGCTAGTTCACAGTGAAAGCAGGTAGGCGCCGTCAACCAGCGTTCATCGGCGTTCTCGCTTTTACCGGAACGAAAATTTATTTATTTCTGCTTTTGCACGCGACGGCGCGCAGATGGTATTAAGAACTAAAAGTTGGCCAAAATTATGTTTTATGATTTTTTATTGCTTTTTTGCTAGTAATATTAATTATTAGAGGAGAGGGTGCTAATATGGAATCCATTTTGTTTTGCCTTTACTCTGAAACCCTTTCCACCGATCAAATAGGGCCATTCTGTGCAAAACCAAGCAATTGGATCAGGATGCTAGAACAAGAAAGTACTTTGTATATTATAGACGATATTTGAGCGAGGATCGGTGTTATAGGGTAAAGACTATTTCCTTTAAGAATCTATTTAAATCAATGTTTTTTTTGGCAGTGGCAAATATTGGCAAGATTTTTGTACATATTCCAAAGCTGGAGACTTTAAGCATTGAACGGATACTAATTTCCATGCGGAATATTGCCGAATAGTCTTACACCTTATAAAAATGCCTCTGATTTTTTAAATATAAAACATTATGAAGAAATAGAATAGAAGGAAACGTTTCAAAATAAAAATATGACATAAAACAGGACTTGCCAGCTGGCTCTGTATCCATCATGACAGTTATTATAAACAATTTGCAAAAAAAGCACTACAAACAATTCCACTATTTTATAATCTAAGAAATATTCAGAATACACTCAAGATAATTCATACTTATAATTGAAATATATTATTTATTTGATAGTCAACTTACGACTTAAAAAAAGCTAATAAACGCGCTTACATTTAGCATTTATAGATTTGTATTCAGTTAAGATAAAAAATGAAAATAAAAATATTTCACTTTTGGCCAGGTTTATAGACCAAATACCCCTATGTGCGGCGCCGGGCGCGGCGTTTGAATATGGTTAGGTTAGGTTAGGTTAGGTTAGGTTAGTTAATCAGGTAAATTTCCTGTTAATTAACTACTTCCGAACCCTGCTCGCATCTCCGAAAAAGCCATATAACAATACACGGCATATAGGCAAAGTTACGCATCACGTGTATTGTTATATGGCTTTTTCGGAGATGCGAGATATGAGCGATATTTGAAGATGCGAGTAGTCAAGAATAGGTCCCCAGAGACGGCGCTGGTTGCCGGAAAGCAGAAACCTGCCTTAACTATGTTCATACCCTTACGGGTCGTGCCAGGTTATGTCACACGCCAGGTCATGTGTTGCTGTACGCACACTGGCGCGATCACGGCCGCGATCACGATCACGATCAGGGATTTAAGTGCAAACACTTTTTCGCTGCCCTGATCGTGATCGCAGCAGTGTGCGTGTAGCTTAAGTCGCATGTTTTAAGATCTCCATAGTCGCGTGTGACAAGAAATCGCGCGATGCGAGTTCTTGTAAACTACAGAAATAAATGGGGCAGCGCAAATTGACGACGCGACGCGACCCGCCTGACCTGACAAGAGCACGTCTCTGTAGTTCAGTTAGGTTAGGTTAGTTCCACGTGCATTATTTTTTATTATTGAATACAGTAAAATATTTCCACTTCGGCATCTTTTGATTCTGATTCAGAAATAAAGTTTAGTAACAATAATTGTTTCGATGGCGAATCAGACATTTTTATGCAGCCGTTTTTATACGATTGCAGAGGAGAGTCACCGCGTCCCAATTTACGGACCACCAAGCAGCGCGTGTGGCGCGTCGCGTCATGTCGGTCGCGCCAAGTCATGTCACACAAACTGCGCCTAGCCTTTCAGCCTGTCCGAGATTCAGTTTAGCTATGCGCCGCTGCGCGGTAATAGTCATTTACAGCGCAGAGGATAAAGAATACCGTGCTGTAGTTCTGCTTTCGATCAACAGAGTTTGTGATTGCTGGAGACAGTATTGCCAGAACTATTAATAAATCCGTAGATTTACGGATTTCGGGCAGAGTACGTTAATAATACGGATTTTCTATCATTAAATAATTTAATATAAATATGTAAGGGTTCAGACTGGGTTAAGATATCGGAAGCCTGAACACACTATTTGCTCTCCCCCATTCGCGAATTTCAAGTTCCAGAGCTTTACGCCCTGGGGCCACAAAGAACGGTTCTGAAAGGAGCCGTGCGCGATAGCCTAGTGCCTCCATATGGCGCGGGACAGTTCTGAACTTTATGACTCAATTGAATGGAGTGAGAGTATCGCGTTCTTGAACAGCTTAGAGCTGCACACCTGCATGAATGGAGGACAGTAATTACTGTCTTCCATTCGCGAATTTCAAGTTCCAGAGCTTTACACTCTGGGGCTACTTAGAACGGTTTTGAAAGGAGCTGTGCGCGATAGCCTGGTGCCTCCATATAGCGCGGAACAGTTCTGAACTTTATGACTCAATTGAATGGAGTGAGAGTATCGCGTTCTTGAACAGCTTAGAGCTGCACAACTGCGTGAATGGAGGACAGTAATTGCTGTCTTCCATTCGCGAATTTCAAGTTCCGAGCTTTACGCCCCTGGGCTACTCGAGACTCGAGAACGGTTCTGAAAGGAGCTGTGCGCGATAGCCTGGTGCCACCATATGGCGCGGAACAGTTCTGGAACTTTATGACTCAATTGAATAGAGTAAGAGTATCGTGCTCTTGAACAGTTCAGAGCTACACAACCCACAACTGCGTGAATGGAGGACAGTATATATGGAGGGTAGAGGTAATCTGAAGGTAATCCACCGTCACCATAATACTCGAAGCTTTGAATAAAAAAAAATCGAAGTATGAATCTACACCATTATTCCATTGCCTAAAAACAGAGATGAGTAGTAAATTAGTAGTACGTCTTCATAAAACGTAAAAATACTATTTTTTACACAAATTACATATTCAACCATCTCAAGTTCCATTTATTAAAAAAATATGAACTATTATAATTGTGAATATAGTGTAGTTATAGTAGTGTAGTGTAGTATAGTGAGTAGTTCATGCATACAGTACAGTACATTTTCATACTATTGAATACTTAGACAAGGAAGGAGAGGGGACAGGTAACACGGCAGCTGAAAGTGAGGCAAGTTGTCACCACGCGAAATTCTCCAATGGCGTAGCATCAGAAATTAGCTTGTACCTAGACGGTACAAAATATTTATTAAAAAAGTGAACTAATATATCGTTCATTTTTGAGTAATGCATATACAATTTTGTATTTTATAGTCTCACCTTTATAATATTAGAATATCCAAGTCAATAATGCAAAATTTATTTAACAGTCACAGTGGACTGATTATCAAGACAATTATTTATTTATTAACCTGTGTGTAATGTATAATTAAATAAAAAATAATGTAATAACATATGTTTTAAACGTGTATATATATATATATATATATATATATATATATATATATATATATATATATATATATATATACTGTATGATCGAAAAAAACGGCGTCTTGTTTGTTTGGAAATGACAATTTCACAAATGAATATTAAAAATTACATTATTCATTGAATCCGTAAGTGTGTGAAGGAATTGACTAGATTCATTATTATACCGTATAATCGAAAAAAACGACGTCCAGTTGGCTTGTAAATTACGATCGATGATATTCCCCATATAATTCTACATGTAAAATGACAAAAACTATACAAAACGACATCGAAAAAGACGGCGTCAGCGATGGCTATGAAATGAAGATCGCTGTTATTTTATGTAAAATTATATGGGGAATGTCGTCGATCGTCATTTAAACCAACTGAACGACATCGTGCCCGACCGCCATACGGTATAATAATGAATCTAACCATTCCGCTTCACACTTGCATACGAATTCAATGAATAATGTAATTACAATATTATTACCTTCAATCATAAGAATATCCTAATTTTCCACAAAAAATAAACAATTCTAGAAGCTTTGTGTTATTTTATTTATTTTGAAATTTTTATTAATTACTCACTGAAACTATTATTATACATTTAAATTAGCAAATTTTTTGAAAGAATATTTAAAAAAAATATATGTAGTAACAAGTAGCCCACCACAAGTTTGTCCACCCCCAGCAAATCTTGGCAGGTAAATTTAAGTTTTATATAACAACTATACATATAGATTTTTTATCACTAGAATTTTTAATTTTTTTTATAGTTTACAATTATTTTACATATTTGATAACAATACTTTATACATTTTTTTTCATGTAAAATATATAAAAAAATGTTTATTGCAGAAATTGTATTTCTCTGATTATAATTCCCTACGCCACTGGAGAAATCCATGCTGAGTAGCATTATTTATAGTTTCAAACATTAATTATAATACAGGATATTGAAAATAATACTCGGAATTATTAAAAATAGTTCGGTTTGGATGTGGTACAAGACATATTAAAAGCATTTTACATATTTTTACTGCTATAATGAAAAAAATGTACATTTTATGACCACATAACAAAAGTTGTGTATCGATTTTTACCTGTGAAATGTAATTCCAGGCAGTTTTTTCTCGCTTCGGCCTTTGCAGCCATACGCTGAACATCTCACCGTACTAAACAATACAGTTTATAAATTTAAAACAAAATAGTTGTCACAAAAAAACATAAAAATTCGCTCGGTGTCACCTCTAAATCTTGTCACCAAAGTATGGCCGCCGATCGAATTTTGGCCATATATTTATAAAGTAACTATATATTAATAATATTTTATATGTATATGATTTTGGCCTCACTAACCGATCACGGGAGAATATATGAGAATATGCGTGTTGATCTGGTGTTGATGCGTGTTACCCGTCCCCTCTATTGCCTTGTCTAAGATTGAATCACGATTGAATACAGGTGGATGACACTTCTTATGGGAGAACTGGAAATGGTTGAAAACTTGACTACAAGCGATTTTCTAGGAATCTTCCTTACCGATAAATTATTGAGAAGAGTGACAGATAAAACCTTGACATTCTTTCAGTATAACTGTTCATCTCTTTTTCTTTCTAAAGTGTGCGTTGAAAGGAGACAAAAACAATTTTTTGCAACCCATAAATTGTTATTCGAACACCACTTTTCTCCTTGTCGGGTCGTTGACGTTGACTTGTCGCCATTTTATTTCTTTTGTTTACAAGCTGCAGTTTGCTTTGTAAATTGAATACATAAATTATTTAGGCAAATATAGGTTTTTGATAAAACTCCTTGGACTAACGTGTAGGTAAGTGTTGATAAATAAGTTTTTTTTCATCTTAATATGCTCATTGTCATTCTCCTGATTTAGGTGACAGAAAAGGATCATCAAATGAAATTGAATTTTATGTTTTTTCATCCCAGGACCGATAATAAAATATATATTTTATGGATACCTTCCTAAATATCAACGAGATGAGCCATCGGAAGAAAGGGACCATAGTACAAAACAGAAAGGTGATCTTTTTTCTTTCCACTTAGGATATTGAAATTATTATATACTGTAGTCGTGTTTGGCATTATGCTCTTAGAAATATAGGTAAACAAAGAAGAACAGATATAAAGCATCCCAGAGGAAAGAGAGGCAATACCTGTACTCTCTCTCAGATATTTGTGAAAGTTACGGCAAAGTATTGTTGTAAATGTCATCTTTTAATCGACCTGAAAACTTCGAGCAAAAGATGACACTTTCAACAAAACCCTGACAGATATCAGAGACGATACAGGTTTTCCTCTCTTTTCCCTGGAATACTTTTTAATTTATTATTCTTTGTTTATCTAGATTTCTCAGAGCACTATGAACGCACTCAGCTTGTATGTTTGAAATAATCGTCCAGTTGGCTTCAAAATGATGATCGATGACATTTCCTATATAATTTTACTTTCAAAATTATGATATATATCGTCATTTCTAAGCCATCTATGACGCCATTTTTTCAGTTTTGTTATAATTAATTTTGTCTCTTGATCTACTTGTAACATTATTTTTTAATTTTATTAATTTATTGTGGTGAAATTAATTTCTGTTGTATATTTGATATGATATTAAACATATTTTTAAAAAATGGTGTATTTTTTGTGTTTTTATCTATGTCATAATTAAAAATAAATGAAGAATTAAAATTTTTTATTTTTTTAAACTTCCCGCCATGCGTTACAATCTAGTCCGTAGTTCCTACAAGCGATATTGGGGGCGCTAGTAGCAGTAGACTTGTCAACAGTGTCAAATTTAAACGTCAATTTCACTTTCCAATATTTAGCCAGGCGCTCGCACTTCTACTTGTGTATGTGTTTTGTGATTGAATAGTTTTTCTTAGTGCGGCGTTACACGGTCCGTTTTTGCGGCATCCCGTTTTACAGGATGCCGCAGAAACGGATCGTGGCCTCCAATTATACGATCCTGCAAAAACGGATTGCGTGACCTTCGTGCAGCTACTATGGAACTATGTTCCTTTCAAAATTAAACATTGTTTTATTACTTGAAGCTAACAATTTATTACGAGAGCCGAAATGCCGTAAAACCTGGGTTCATCCTTTTAATTCCGAACGCGAAAGAAGACGAAGATTTGAAAATTTTATTCTAAAATTCGAAAGTACAATGATAAATTCTTTGGCTACTATCGGATGTCTCAAAAATCTTTTGATGTATTGCTTGAAATATTGAGACCCAGCATCACGAAAAAAACACGACAATGAGGATTCACCCATGCTCTTTGTCGTGCATCTTTGTTGGAATATTCAGGGTTTGATTTGTCCCAAGGGGCAGGTAGCCCACGAATTAGCTCGATAAATTGGTCCGTATCAAACATATTTTGCTTTTCGCGATCAAAGCGGCATACCGCAGAAACGTACCGTGCTACAGTTTACATTCAACTGACTGTGTCGTCACCAAGGTTCCCGCATCCCTCATCCCGCAATCCTGCATTGCGGCAGCATGTCGCCGCACATCCCGCAAAAACGGATGGTGTTACATCTGCCATGCCATCTCATGCGATAATTGCCATACCGCAAAACGGGACCCGCAGTCAACGCAAACGGACCGTGTAACGCCGCACTTACATGTCACATGTCAGAAAATGATAAACTGTGATGATAAAACAAAGGTAAATAAAGTGGCAGTGTTGCCAGAACTACGGATTAATCCGTAGATTGACGGATTTCGGATATATTCTACGGACGTACGGATTTTTTTCCAATAATACGGATTTTCAGTTATTGAACAATTTAACATAATATTATATGTTTAAAAAAGAACAGCGTCACAGTTGCCTTGGAAATGAAGATCACTGTTATTTCATATGTAAAATGATATGGTAAATGTTCATTTCCAAGCCTACTAAACGACTTTTATCATACGAAATATGTAGTAGAATATTTGCAAATTAAAAATTTTATCTATTACCATCGATTAATTGACAATACTAATCATACAAAGAAGTAATAACTGATATATTATTTGCCTGTCGGATCATATTTTTGTAATAATAAAAAATTGTATTGGTTTGCAATACTTGTTTGTCTCATCTATTCTTGTCCATGTAATACTACGTAGCTATACGTAGATATTGAGAAGAAGTAATGTTTTGTCATTTTTAAGATGTTTATTTTTGATATTTATTTTATGTTTAACATGAATTAATGATCAATAAAATACAGGGTGTGTCTTAAATAAGTACAAATATTTTCAGGGGTGGTAGATCTCGATAACATATTTTCTCTTACCGTTTTTTTCTGTATTTGCACCCCTATGTATCGTGACCATGTAAGCGTAACCGTATTAGAGATTATGAAATTTTTAAAAAATGATCGATATTAATCATATTTTTATGCGAAAAAACCTCATAGACGTGTTCCTGGGGTCGAAATATACCATCTCTGAAAATATTTGCACTTATTCAAGACTCACTCTGTATAAATACGGATTTTTTTATTCATCTACGGATATTTCGACCAACGAAATACGGATATTACATATTTTCTTTTCATCTGGCAACACTGTAAAGTGGTAAACACAGGTGGTAAATAATCTGTATTTTATTTTAACATATTTATTAATTTATTGTTCTGTTATTAGATGGTTATTCGTTATTATTTGAGAAATTTATTGTGAATATGAAAGAAGATTCTCTAGTATGTCTTCCTGGTCAAAGACTTTCAATATGCGATAAAATCTATACATCGGGGCAAGGAACTTATGAAAGAAAGGGTTATATATATTCCATGTTAGGTGGTGTAGTAGATATTGTTGAAAAAAATGGACTAAAAGTATTGGAAGTTCATAGTAATGGGCAAAATACAGTTATACCTAGTCAAGGAGATATTGTTACAGCAGAAGTAAGTCAGTTCTTTTAAAAGTATAAGATTTACAGGTTATCTACGGGAGGTGAAATTATTTTTTCAACTTTTATATGTTCCATTTTATTATCTAGCTTTGTTTTTTAGGTTTATATAATAACACAGCAACACGCAAAATGTCATATAAAATGTATAGGTAATACTGTTCTTAAAAGTTCTTTTAGAGCTATTATTAGAAAGGAGTATGTGAGAGTGACAGAAAAAGACAAGGTTGAAATATATAAAAGTTTTAGACCTGGGGATATAATATTAGCCAGAGTGGTAAATAGATAAATTAATATAAAATTCTTATAAAATATTTCATGTTTCAGCTTCCAATAACAGAGGCTCATTCCTACCAATTATCTACGGCTGAGAATGAATTAGGAGTTGTTATAGCTCATAGTGAACATGGATATCCAATGATTCCAGTAAGTTGGACTGAAATGCAGTGTCCGAAAACCTTAGTTAAAGAACCAAGAAAAGTAGCTAAAGTTGTTCCTGAAAATATGACTACAGATATATTAAGTGTTTTGCAAAATAATGTTTAAGTATTTTAATTAACATATAATTTTCTAATATACTTTTGAAGTTTTGCTAATTGTCTCTGAACCTCAAGAAGCCTGGCTCTGTTTTGATTTATGTCTTTGCCCTTATTTTGCATATACATATTTCTTAAGAACGGCTTAAGCGTTCGTAGTATTTCTATAATGGCGCACTCAGACGACTCGAGGTCCTGGCAAATTAGTACATATGCTTATAGTAGCGTCCCCCAGTAACGCAGACTTTGACGACTTGTGTACTTGGCAAACATTTGTTATTGGTATACAGGGTCCGGCGGTGCGTCGGGCATTATACAAAATTTCTAAGTTGTTTATTATAGGAGCTACGACTCACTATCGCCGAACGTATGCCAATAAAAAATGTTTGCCAAGTACACAAGTCGTCAGAGTCCACCCATAAAACGATTTTTAATGTATAATCATAAGAACAATGAGTTTCTTGTTTCTTTTTACCCAACAAACTATTGCTGATTACTGTTCTCCATTCGCGAACTTCAAGTTTCAGTGCTTTACGCCCTGGGCTACTCAGAACGGTTCTGAAAGGAGCTGTGCCCGATAGCCTGGTGCCTCCATATGGCGCGGAACAGTTCTGAACTTTATGACTCAATTGAATGGAGTGAGAGTATCGCGTTCTTGAACAGTTCAGAGCTGCACAACTGCGTGAATTACTGTCATCCATTCACACAGTTGTGCAGCTCTGAACTCTTCAAGAACGCGATACTCTCACTCCAATCGAGTCATAAAGTTCAGAACTATTCCGCGCCATATGGAGGCACCAGGCTATCGCACACAGTTCCTTTCAGAACCGTTCTGAGTAGTCTAAGGCGTAAAGCTCAAAACTCTGGAACTTGAAATTCGCGAATGGAGGACAGTAAATGGGCGCGTTCAGGGACAGTCAGCGGCTGAGTGGCTGAGTAAGCAAATTACTGTCATCCATTCACGCAGTTGTGCAGCTCTGAACTGTTCAAGAACGCGATACTCTCACACTCTCACTCCAATCGAGTCATAAAGTTCAGAACTATTCCGTGCAATATGGAGGCACCAGGCTATCGCGCACAGCTCCTTTCAGAACCGTTCTGAGTAGCCCAGGGCGTAAAGCTCAAAGCTCTGGAACTTGAAATTCGCGAATGGAGGACAGTAAATGGGCACGTTCAGGGACAGTCAGCGGATGAGTGGCTGATTAGTAAGCGATTTCCCTAAACTGTTTCTTTTCACACACAAAAATAGTTAGCCGCTTAGCAAAAGTCTCAGCCCATTGTATTTGACTAAGAGTGGGTCCCATAGGGGACCCTCCACTGAGACCGCGAGGGCCTATTTTGGCAGCCCATAGTCTCGTGTTTTGTGGTCTCAGCGGTCGATCAGCCGCTGTGTTCCCTGAACGCGCACATTTGCTGTCCTCCATTTACGCAGTTGTGCAGCTCTGAACTGTTCAAGAACGCGATACTCTCACTCCATTCCATTGCTGTCCTCCATTCGCGAATTTCAGGTTCCAGAGCTTTACGCCCTGGGCTACTCGAGAACGGTTCTGAAAGGACCTATGCGCGAGGAGTGAGCTTGGAGTGAGAATATCGCGTTCTTGAACATGTCAGAGCTGCACAACTGCGTGAATGGAATACAGTAAATTGAGTCATAAAGTTCAGAACTGTTCCGCGCCATATGAAGGCACCAGGCTATCACACAAAGCTCTTTTTTACCCAGAACCGTTATCGAGTAGCTCAGGGTTGCTCAGGGCGTAAAGCTCTGAAACTTAAGTTCGCGAATGGAGGACAGCAATTGTTGTTTAACGTTCAAACCATAAAGTAAGTTCAAACCTTAGATCTTAAGTTCAAATGTAAGAAAGTAAATCATAAGACATCTATTTTTTAAATCTAAAAAATTATTTTTTACTTACCCATCCTTGGTTTGCAGGATTTTATTTTGTTATATTAATCCTAGTCAATGGTCTGATGGCTGAACTGATTGTCAAACCATTTTGAAATAACCAATTACATTTAGGAATCGTTTCGTTGACAGTTGACATCGTTCTCTGGTTCTATTTAAAACTTGCCAACGAACGTGATGTTAACTGCCAAACAAAAATATTTGTGGTAGAATTTTAGTTTGTAGTATTTAGTGTGGTATTTAGTTTGAAATAATGAGTGTTATATGTGAATACGTATTATTTTATGGCCAATTTAAATAAATTGCGAGCAAGTGTGTGTTTTAAAGTCGTATAGTATTTAATTTAACGTAATAATAAAACGTTATAAAAATGGAAACATCAAAAGAGCCTATTAGTGTTAGAATATCACGGTTGAATAAGAATATTATTGCAAGACCTGAATGCTCAAGCAAAGTATCTTTACTTAATAGGGAATGTCTATTAGATGCTTTACAAATACTATATGATGAATGTTCTGCAGAATATTTGCAAAAACAAGACCAAAATGTTGCTGATTTTGTTAAAAAGTATGGAACCCCCATGAAGGAAATAAAAAAATTACGCGTTAACATAAGCGATTTTGAAATTAAACATATTATAGGTAAATTTTATAACCATCAGATTTATATTATTAGTTTTGAACTATTTTATATGTAAATCTTCTTTATTCATAGGATGTGGTCATTTTGGTGAAGTACATGTTGTGAAGGAAAAACAAACAGGTGATATTTATGCTATGAAGACAATTAGAAAGTTTGATAATGAAACCCAAAAGATATCGTTCAAAGAGGAAAGGAATATTATGGCATTTTCAACTTCTCAGTGGTTAACAAGTTTGCAGTATGCATTTCAGGATAGTTCATATTTGTTTTTTGTTATGGATTATCATCCCGGAGGCGACTTGTTAGGTGATAATTATTGTTATTTTATTTGTTAGCAAAACAGTACAGTACATTATTTTTTAGGACTTCTTTATAGACAAGGGGGTACACTGCCAGAGAGTGCTGCAATTTTTTATTTAGCAGAGTTAATTTTAGCATTAGATGATCTTCATAATATGGGATATGTACATAGAGACGTTAAGCCAGATAATATTTTATTAGGTACATTTAATAATATAAATTTAAGAACTTTTTAATATTTATCTTTTGTATAATAATAGATCGTTGTGGTCATCTAAAGCTAGCTGACTTTGGATCAGCCGCAAAGTTAGATAAAAATGGTTTGGTTAAATTAGGTCCACCGGTAGGAACACCTGATTATATTGCTCCAGAAGTACTACAGTGCCTTGAAAATAAAAATGAAAAAGGATCAAGCTATGGAGTAAGCTTGGGCTTTTACTGTTTATAAACTATTTTAATAATTTAATATTTTTGTAGATTAGCTGTGATTTTTGGTCAGTTGGCATATTAGCTTACGAAATTACTATTGGATGTCCTCCATTTCAAGGTCAAAACACTCCTACTTTGTACTCAAAAATTATGAATTCTTCAAAAAACTTAAAATTTCCACCAGATGCACTTTTGAGTCAGGCATATATAGATTTTATTAAGGTACACTATGGTTAATTTGCTTTTTTAATTTTAATTTGAATCAGCTTTTATGGGAATGAAGAACTATCTTAAAGAGAAAATCAAAAGTTTGTTTTTTTTTTAATGACTCCATACACTATCTTTTTTTTTTAAATTTAGACGCGGCACAGCAATAGTGCGTCGAATATCGGTAGCTTCTATAATAATTTTTTTTTGTTTAAGTGCAATCCTAAATATATGTTTGGTTTGGTTTGGTTACATATTCTCTCTGGAGGAAAGGAAACTAAAAAACCATCCCGATCCACTCACACTTTTTTGAGTCGCCATGTAGAAGTTAGAATATTTTCCTGAAATACATCCTAATACATACTTTAGGTTACTAACGGTTAGGCTGTACTAAAATTTCCTAAGTTTTGTATTATAGGAGCTACAGATGCTCAATGCTCTATTGCCGGACCCTGTATAGATTTGACATACAGGGTGTGAATTTGCATGCTTTATAAATATACATCTATTTCTACAAAGCATTCATTTCTTCAACGATAGGCTTATCTAGGATTTTTACTCATTTTTATCTGTAAAATATGCTGCTGAAAGTTCCCGAATACAATTTGGACCACCCTGTATATTTCACATTGAGGAAATTCAGATTCCCTGCCATCTTCCATTAATTTGAGTGGACCCTTTTCATTACAAATCCCTTTGATCGTTTTCCGAATGTCCTCATGCATAAAAAACCTATTACAAAGAACTTCCCAACTTCGATTAATCTGACATAAAAGGGCCCATTCAAAACTTCCAAAAGAAGAATAACCGTAACCACAATCTTTTTTCTAACAAATGGTTCGACTTATTCATGCTTACTGCTTGTAGAAATAGAAGCTATGTAGCTTGCATTCTTCTCATTTTTACTGTAGATTGTTACGTTTTTCATGGGGTTCTGTGTGGATAATTGGATAAACAAAAAAAGAACACTAGCACTATTTACAACTTAAAAACTAATATTTATTGGTGTCTGAGTTTTTCGAGATGAGAAATTTGATTTTGATGTCAATATTACTCCTACTTGTAGAGGGCGCCACCTACATATTTTTAACTGGTTTGAAGAGTAATAACTTTTCTTCTGTACCTTTATAAAACTATTGAGTAAAAAAATATACCCTTATAAAACTAGGCACATCATTATAATTTTAAAAGATGTTCATAAAACGATGTTTAAAAAAAGTATACCATTAATATTGCAAATTATATTTTATCATCTCATAGTATGTCTATTTAATTTTTTGATTATGTAATGAGCACTTTGTTTACTCACTTGTTTCGTCGAACTGCTTGAATTCATGTTTGCTTTTGATCAAATCGGTGTGAGAAACTATGAAGTTATAAAATGTTGTTTCAGGAGAGTCGAATATTCGGGAAAGTTGAGTTATTGAATGTGATTGCACCCAACAACGCCCTGATTACGCTCTCCTTTACGTGTTAACATTTTTTCGGCAATTTTATTAACATTAGAAATTGTCACAACACAACACGACGCCTATTTCGAATTCTTTTTCACAAAAAACAATTTCTTTTTTTCTTTTCAAACCTCGTACCAGAGTGTTTTATAGTTTCAATAACTGCACTATCAAAAAAAGAAAATACTTAAATATTATGAATTGTAAATCACGAGATTGAAAAATTGCGATCAACACGACGGCGCGCGGCGGCGTGAACTATATATTGATAATATCAGATTTTTTCCGCTGAAGCGCTGCGGTCGGAATTTGTTGAAATCAACTGAAATGCACCAAGCCTATAATAATATGTCTGGCTATTTTAAAGCTAAGCAAAAAAAATAGCGTGTTAAATTTAATTAATTTTTTTAGAGACTTGTTACTAATTCCGAAACTAGACTTAAAGGGAAAGAAATAAAAAATCACAATTTATTTAAAAGTACAAATTTTGATTCTTTGCACGATCAAGTTCCTCCGTTTGTTCCCAAAATAAAATCTTTTGAGGATACCAGCAATTTTAGCGATGTGGCAAGCAAAAAGAGGAACCCTAGTATGGAAAACTTTAAAAAGAGGTCTCATTTTTCCGGTCGAAACTTTCCATTTCTTGGTAAAATCTTAATATTTTACTGTAAAGATATATTTATTATATGTATTTTATTTAGGATTTACTTTCACTCACGATCCATATATCCCAAATGATTCAATTCATCACAGAGATTTCACTAACTCTAACGAAAACATGAAAATAGAACTGGATGCATTAAGAATGAAGGTATCTAAAAGTGGAGATTTTAACCAAGAAAAAGAGGTAGGGATATACTAACTAAAAATTAATTAATTAAAGCGAGGGTCACAGCGTTCTGAAAATGCTCCGTTACATGTTCCTATTTAAGAATCTTTACAATATTTTTTTTATAATATATTTTTTATATTATTGGGATTTTGGTTCTAGGTATTGTTTTGGTTCTTAGGTATTGAAACCCCGTGCTCTATTAGAACATTGGATCATCAATGTTTCTGTTTTTAAATATATATTTTCTTTCAAAATTATTTTTTAGAATCTTGAAAGAAAACTTGAAGAAAAATCTAGGAAATTAGAGAGTATCGAGGCCTTAAGAGACAAGCTGGAAAAAGATTTGGCCAGCAATATTGCCGAACGCACTGTAATATATATATTATTCATAAAAATGTATTCATAATTAATTAATAATTTAATACATAGGCTCTTAAAAGGACGTTGGAATTGGAGCGTAAAGAAAGATTAGCCTTAGAGAAAGAAGCGGTGGATCTGATCAGAGGTGCAAAAGAGAAATGGGAGATTTCAGAAAAAACTATAACTAACGCCCTTAATCTAGAAATTGCACACCAAAAAGAAACGATTTTACATCTTACCGAGACAAATAAAACTTTAGAAGAACAACTTCAGCGCGCTTTAAAAACGGAACATAAAAATAGGTAACAAATCGTTTTTTTTTGTTTTCAAAATTTTTACTTAAGAATAATTCTAGATCTCTCCAAAAAAATCCTTTATGGGTATTTCGCCACTGCACTGCAAGAAAAATCTACAAAATAAAATAGTTATAATAATAATAGTCATAATAGTTTGAATTTAAATATTTTAAATAGTTTTTTTTTCTTTATTCTTTGTATTTTTTTGCTTCTGACGACGGAAAGAGATAGACTTTCCGAAACGTTAAGCATTTTTTTCTTTGTTAGGCAAATTTTTATTACTGTAAACATAACTTCTGACAAGCAGTGTCCGTTTAGGTTTAACGCAGAAGTGTTTACAAAAAAATAACTATTTTATTTTGTAGATTTTTCTTGCAGTGCAGTGGCGAAATGCCCATAAAGGATTTTTTTTGGAGAGATGAATCCGCTACATAGGTATAGACATTTTTTAATAATTCTAGAATGTCACTGGAAGTCGTTCAAGATTTAAGTAGGAGAAGCGTAGTTAGCCTTGAAAATAGGCTTGAAAAAATTACTTTTGAAACGCAGGAAAGCTTAACAGAATTGCAAAGGTTTGATATGTATACCAATATAATTGAAAAATAAACGGCATCGGAGTTGGCTGTGAAAATAAACGCTGTTATTTTATACGTAAAATTATGTGGTGAATATTATCAATTGTCAGTTCCAAGCCAACCTGACGGGTTTTTTTCTATTATATATGGTATTTTCGGTGCAGTAAAGCTTGATTTTCATGCATCAGCCCGTCAACGGAGAAAGATCGTACGATAACAGACGTTTTGACACTTTTTTGACAAATTTAATCTAACTTTAATAAAAATATAATAGTACAAGAGCTAGAAAACCGTCGAGAAAACGAGAATTTTAATAAAGCTGGTTCTTTAATGCTATGCTCTCCTGACCAAAGAGCGGGCCGTCCGGCTGCCGCTAGAAACTGCGGTTTACTACTGCGCATCATATTTGTACAGGGTATCCCATTTCGTGTGTTTTATGGGATTTCTCGTTTATGAGTAAAGATACAATGATGCGATTTTCACATTACTTTGGTATTTTTTTATGAATCTAAATATGCTACACATAGGTTTGTCCTAGTCTCCTTAGTTTCACAAATACAGAGCGAATTTGTGATGCGCAGTAGTGAACGGGTGTTGAATACAGATATGATGCGCAGTAGTGAACGCAACGTCTACCGGCAGCCAGACGGTCCGCATTCTGTTCAGGAGAGCATAGCAAAAAAGAACCAAGCTTTCTTAAAATTCTCTCTCGAAAAGATTGCTAGCTCTTAGACTATAAGTAAAACAGCCAGATCGTTATAGAATGAAAATATAAAATGAGACCAATCACAAGCAAATCGTACATCCGATGAACAGAGGCATGAAAATGCAATTATTTTAAAAAGTACGCAATTTTCTGACCAGTCGAAGTCTTTAAATTCAATCAGTAAAATTAATATTGTATCGTCGGATAACGGATGCATGATAATCAAGCTTTACCCATATAAGTTACATTTTTTTCCATAGTAAGTTGGTGGGAGAAATGCATAATAAGGCGTTACTAGAAAATCAGATCGCTAATCTTGAAGAAATTAATACTGATTTGAAAGATAAATTGAAGGATTATGAGAAAAATTACAATAAACTCAACGCTCAGGTTAACGAAGCAGAAACTATAATTAAGGAATTAAGTAATCACGTAAATAAATTGGAAAAGGTGTGTTTAATTTGGACAGTATAGAGGATGTAAATGAATCAAGGGAAAATATTAAAAAAATAAGGGAGTTTTTTCTATAAAAAATTTTAATAATACTTAATAGATACAAGTATTTGAAAATTAACAGTTATATTTTATTCTAGGACGTCGAACAAAACGAAATGTTTAAATCAGAGATTAAAAAATTACAAAAACAAATCAAGGATGATCAAAAAATAATTAGGGATGTGCAAAACAAAAATGAATCCCTCCAAAAGCAGAACGAAACTATTCATCAGTACAAAACTGAGATAGAGGAATTGAAACAAAATATTGTTAAGTTGAACAATGATAAAAAAGTTAGTGAACTGGAAGAACAGATACAACAAGAAAGAGAGAAGTCAGAAGATTTAAAGAAAAAGTATATTTTTAATTACTTATATTCTTTAAATAATATTATGGTTATTTAAATATCCAATAAATTTGACAGATTGTTATAGCTTTCTTCAAAAGACTTCTGGGTATTTCGCCAATAATTAAAGAAAGTCTACAAAATAAAATATTTTTTTTAAACACCACTACGTTGATCCAACAGAGAACAATACCTTGTTATAGGTTGTTTGACTATTGGACAGTGACACTTGTCTTATATTTTATTTCAAAATTAGATAAAACTTTCTGTCACTTTTTGGAAATCCTCTGTAGAAATCGTCCCGTCACATTACCAATTTTTTTTATTTTTAAGATTGGCAGAAATGGAATGTTCTAATGTGAAACCTCAGGAACTAAGGGAGAAGCAATTGCAATTCTGGAAACTGGAGAAGGAACTTTCGAATTTCAAAATTGATAAGAGAATTCTAGAAAGGGAATTGAAAACAGCTCAGGTATGCAATAAAAAGATAATATATGGCAGATTATGTGTTATGTAGTATAAGGAATAAGGCTATTTGCATTTACATATTAAAAATTTGATATTTAACAGAACTAATTATTATTCTTTAGGCTGAAATTAAACAGCTGAACGAAAAAAATTTAGAATGGGAAGCTAAATTCAATGAGTATAAAAAATGCCAAGAATCAGCTTTACTTGAGATCGCAAGTATTAATGAGAGCATTTCTATAGAACTGATGAAGTACAAAGAAACTAATATAAGTTTACAGGTAACACAATCTATATTATTTAATTATTGGTCATTTTATATATTTATAACTGAATGTATTTTAGGAACAATTGAAGTATGAAAAAGACAAGACTGAAACAGAAAGAGCTTTTATAAACGAATTGAAGAACATTATAAAAGAAAAAGAGGAAAAAATAAACACAGTTGAGAATAATTTGAAGGTTCTTAATGATGATATGAAAACGTTGGAAGCAAGGTAATAATATATATAAAGTTTAATACCATTATAATAATATCGGTAGATATATAAAATGAACGATGTACTTAAACAGCCGTTAAACGGTAGCCTACTAAAATGCCGTTAATAGATATTGTGACGTCGTTCATGTCGGCGGAAAGTAATGCCTAGCTATAAGCATTATGCAAGAGTACCTGTGGCTCCGTGGCTGAGGCTATCGCTTCGTGAGCGAATGGTCCGTGGTTCAAATCTTACGCCGACCAAGACGACGTGATCTTATTGCATTGGTTTCACTCTTTTTGGTTGGATTGGTTTAGTCATTTGGCGGGTTGGTTATCGTGGTTATTTGGAGGGTGTTAAGTCATTGGTTAGTTGGTTATTTGGTGGGGTTGGTTGGTTTTAACTAATCTTTGTTACTAATTTAGATTTGTTTTTTATATTTTTTATCAGTGTCGAGGTTAGTTGCGTTTGTTAAGTTGGTTATTTGGTGGGGTGGATAGCGTTGGATAGTCCATATAAAATTCCTATATTTCATAAAGCCGTCAAGTGCGTCACATCAACAACGTCATACCTATTAACGGCATTTTAGTAAGCTACCGTTTAACGGCAGTTTAAGTACAGCCTAAAATGAATGAAGAATGAAGTGACATAAAAATTATTTGAGTATCAATCATAGATAAAGGAAATAAATTTAGATTGGAATGCCCGTCAAAATGTTGGGTCACGAAATTGTTTTGGGTCGCGACCGTTGAACGCGATCTGACGTTACTGTAGCGGTTGCTAAGAACAACCGCAAACAAAAACAGAAATAATTCTCTCTTGTCCATATCTCTTGTCAAAGTCAGACTCTTCAAAAATTATAAAATCTTTCAAAATCTAAACTGCTCTCATTGAAAAAATTCCAAAAAGTGTTTAAAGCGTCCATTTTCAAAGTAATTATTGCTATCTTGTAAGGTTAATTTAAGTTTTATTTACTCAAACCCGTGATAATTGTGAAAAAGTGGTATTAAACACCTATAAAGCTGTGCTGTGAACTGCAAAAACCATTGTGGATCGTGGCATAACGTCGGTTTCCAATGTTTCATAGGTATTTCATACATGTCCTTATATAAAATAAAGTTTCTTGTATGCAACACACTGTATTTTATTTATAAAATTAAAAGAATAGATTGTATAGAATATTTGGCGATATAATTCCGGAAAAAGCCGAACTGCTCCGAAATTTTCAAAAGCTTTGGGTCGCGACCGTTGCAAGGATAGCGCCAAATAGTGTTTACATGGTCCTTATAGGCACTTTCCAATCTAAACTTGTTTTATTTATTTATGGTATCAATAAAAGTTAAGTTTAACTCTTAAACAATCTTTTGTGATATTAATCTGAATTTATATTTGTCAGTGTGTGCGCATTCTAACCCTATTTTTTGTAATGCACGTGCTCTGTTAGGCTCTTTATTATATATATGTAAGTTTGGTTTGGCTGAAACTTGGAATGTAGTATGTTTTCATGATATTTTGACGACATTTCGTGCACTATGAAACCCCATGATCAATGGCGAACAAATCGTCCAATTGAAATTTGGTATATCGATAGATTGGACTAAGGCCAACTTGTCTGTATTTTGTCAAAAATTGATGTCTGATCGCGACCAAATTTGATGGGTAGACTATGTGGGCGACAGTGTACACGGTTTCACCCTGCAAAGTTGGATACGACGTTTCGTTTAGATCTTCACCAGGGTGGGACCACAGATTAGGTATACTATAAGTATACAGATAAAAATCTTGTCCCTAATTCGTGGTACGAAAATTGTTTTTTATGATAATGAGCAAACGAGTAAAATTTCCTGTGCGCAAAAATAAACTCGCGTTTAAACAGCGTAATAACTGGGCCGGTCAGGCGCTGTCCTCAATTTTAGAGGCCATAAGTGGGCGTGCTATGTGCGCAAACTAGTAACCTAACTAGTGCGCGACTCCGAAAATTGGAACCACGAAAAACAATGCTTTTGACCATAATTTTATAATCTGTATAATCTGTGGTGAGACTAAGGGTTTGATATTGAAGAAAAATTTGGGTCGTTTTCAGCATAATTGGGGAGGACGGGCTACAGGATGACGCCCTCGGCGTTTCAAACCGATGCCTCTAAATGGACGAACACATCAGACTTTTTCTTAATTATGGGTCGATTGGAACCAAACTCAGACGGACAGACAAACAGACAGACAGAGAGACCGAAGTTAGAAGTTTCACTTCAAATATGCGCGCACACAATTTTTTTTATATTTTAACATATTTTTGTGTACTATAATTTTTTTTAAACCAGGTTCAAAAAGCAGGAACTGGACAAAGTTAAAATGAATGAATTAATTGAAGAATTACAAAAGGAAAAGAAACAGTTCAACAACGAATCCGAGCAAAGCAAAAGGGAAATCAAAAATATTAATCTGGTAAATAGTATTTTTAATATCATAACATATCTTTATGTTTTCAATGAATTGGCAAATCTTTACCCAAAAAGTTTAAACCTGTGTTATTTAAAAGCCTTTGTGTTCCGTTTATTTCGTTATTTATTACTGAAACAATATCAAATAATTTCAAAAATTTTGAAGTACATATACAGGGTGGTCCGAATTGTATTCGGGAAACTTAGGTAGCATATTCTACCGATAAAAATAAGTAAAAAAGTTCATATAAATGTATATCCTAAAATGCTTAGTTTCGGAGATACAGGTTGTAAAAGTTTTATTTTTATTTCGAATTTTTTCAAATAATGTCTGAAGTAACGTCGATATTTGGTGTCTCGGAGTTTTTTGACATGGAAAATTTGAATTTCATGTCAATATGACTCCTACTTGCGAAAAGCGCTACCTACATATTTGTTAGCAGGTTTGAAGAGTAATAACTTTTTGTCCGATCTGATTAAAAAAATATACATTTTCGCCGTTTTTTACGTAAAAAAGGTCCCTTGAGAAAAATCGCTACGAGTAATGTTTCTGGAGATATTTGAAAAACTGAAATAATCAACATGTCATCATTGACATAAATTATACATGTTAACTATAGATAGTTATCAGACTTAGATAATAAATTTTATTTTTTTTTGTGCTAAAGGTTCAATAGAAACTGTTTTACCATGATATTTTCGAAGAAAAATATATAATTAATTTAAAAAAATAAATATATTATCATTTCAGTCTCTACTGATCTATTCAACGTGTTTATTTTTTGTCAATAATGACATGTATTGACTATTTGCATTCTAAATATCTTAAGAACGGTTGCTTGTAGCGATTTTTGCCAAGAGATCTTTTTTACGTAAGAAATGATGGAAATGTATATTTTTTCTCTCGGTAGTTTTCTACAGGTATAAACGAAAAATTATTACTCTTCAAAACAGTTAAAAAACATGTAGGTGGTGCCCCCTATAAGTAGGAGCTATATTGACATCGAAATAAAATTTCTCATGTCAAAAAACACGCAGAGACTAATTTTTATCCAAATATCGACATTAGTTAGGTTAGAGAAAAAATTGAAATAAAAATGAATGAAGTGAAATTGTACACCCTGTATTTCCGAAACGAAGCATTTTTGTATATAAATTTATACGGACTTTTTTACTTATTTTTATCTGCAAAATATGCTGCCGAAGTTTTCCGATTACAATTCGGACCACCCTGTATATTAATTTATAAAAAAATAGTTTTTATTAATTTTGAATTAAATAATTAAATGAACTCTATTTTCTATTCACATTAGGTAAACTTTTAAATTAAATTCCTACATATGTATGTCGAAAATTCAGCTGAGAGAAATAAGTAAACACAGAGGAGTTCTAAAATATTTCTTGGTATAATAGTCATGATTTTATTATGGCTTCTTTATTTTTACTTACTTTTATGAAAAACACAGTATGATACTACTTATAATTAAGACTTACTTCAGAGAAATACCTTTATTATAGCTTTGTCATGCATTTTTTAGAACATTAACGCATTACGTGAAGCGTGCGTCTTGTTAGAGAATCAAGTTGTTGAGTACGAAAAACTTTTAAATTCTGCCAAGGACAGAGAGCTAGAATTAAAATCTAATACTGAAAAACTTATTGCTGATATATGCCAGTCTAGATTAGAGACTCAGGAAGCAAAAAAGTAATATATTTGAATATATCCCAAACTACACTCAGATGCAAAAAAACGCAACGGAGAAAATTTTGGGCAAATTTAAAGTGTTATATTTTTGTTATTTTTAGCCCTATTTTCATTAATTTTTTAGCAAGCTGTATATAACTATATCAACTTTAATTCGTAAACTCAGTTTTTTATTAACTTTAGTATTTGGCATATTATACAGGGCTAATCGGGGGGTTGTTTTTTTACCCTAACTTTGACACACCCTGTGCAATAATTTTGTAAGCAAATTTTCCTAAAATATAATTTTACGGTCAGAACCATGTTTTCTGAGCATTTTGTTTTTTGGATCATGTCAATACATGCCTTGGTTAATTTTTAAGAGCGAAATGAACTTGCCACTAAGAATTTGAAATTTTTTCAATTATAATTTCTTTTTGAATTTTTTTTTTCAATATGACAAGGGGGCTGTGGTGATTATTGTGAACTATATACTACTATGAACTGCCCATCATATTCGACGTTTGGGAAATGCTTGGCAGGAGGGTTAGAGGTCACGAAGCGGTAACAGCTTCATTAAATGAACTTCGCTTGGTTCTTAAAGAAGAATGGGAAAGCATAGCACAATATGATATTTGCAGTCTCACTGACAGTATGAACGGACGTATACAGGCAGTTATAGCAGCCAGGGGAGGCAATACAAAGTATTTTGGTTATTTTTTACAATTTTTTTTTCTGTTTGTATACTACAGTATTAGAGATGTTTTCCTTAATATCGTTAGTTCTGTTATCGTTATTAATGTTTATTAAAACAAGGACTCTATAGTTAGTCTTTAATGTTTTTTTTTTAATTTAGTATATAGAGTATCCGATGTAGCGTAATATTATGACGTTACAATAGTCACCAAAACCATCTCGTCATATTAAAAAATTACTACTCAATTATCATTACTTAAAAAAGTAATGATAATTGAGTAATAATTGAGGTTCATTTTGCTCTTAAAAATTAACCAAAACATGTATTGACATGATCCAAAAAAACTAAATGCTCAGGAGACATGGTTCTTACCGTAAAATTATATTTTAGGAAAATTTACACACGAAATTATTGCACAGGGTGTTTTAAAGTTAGGATAAAAAACAACCCCTCGATTAACCCTGTATAATATGCCAGTTACTAGAGTTTATACAAAAAACTGAGTTTACGAATTAAAGCTGATATAATTATAATATACAGTTTGCTAAAATATTCATGAAAATAGGGCTAAAAATAACAAAAATATGACACTTTAACTTTGACCAAAAATTTCTTCGTTGCGTTTTTTTTTGCATCTGAGTGTATATACTTAAACACCCGATTTTTCTTTTAGGCAAGTTAATGAACAAAAATCACTGAAAGCTGTTGTTGAACAAAAAGTAAAAAGATTGGAAGAAGATAAAAAGTGTTTAGAAAACGAATGCAACGATTATAAAATGCAATGTATGGATTACAAAACATTTTCCTCTAGTTTGTCAGAACAATTAATGGTAGAAAAGTTTAAACTAATTTTTGCATTAATATTAGCATTTTTGTTTAGATTTCAGAAGAGAAGCTTAGTAATTATGAAGTTGAAATAAAATCGCTTGAACGGCAAATTGAGAAGTTGGGTTCAGAAAATAAGGCTTTGAAGGAAGAAATATCAGATTGTTTAACTAACATGAGTACATTAAAAGAATCTAATTACAGATTAAAATATCATTTAGACGATTTAAAGAAAGACATTGAAGGTAAATAAATAACAGTATTTTTAAATTTTCAAATATTTTTAATCTTCAAGAAGTATTATTTTTAACATTGGAAATGTTTATGTTCGTATATGCGGGCCAAATTTCGCGTTTTCTTTCAAGGTCGTCAGCAACGGTGTCGCACTAGCCGTACAGTCGACCAAATTAAAGCATCAAAACTTTGTCGCGTGATGCCTAATTTAGGTGAAATGGCCTGACAGCAGGAAACTCTCGGCGATATACGAGGTTTAATTTTGTTAGTCCCTACGATATTACTTGACGACTATGCTACGGGGGGCGATAATAAAATTGAATAGATTGATATTGATATTTGCAAGGGTTAAAAAAAACAGTACTATTTTCCTAATTTTTGATTTGGATTTTGACAACTATTTATGTTGTTTGTAATGAAACGATATTTTTATTTAGGTATTGATATATTTCAGAAAGGATTTAAGGATTAAAAGATATAATATATTTACTTAATTTCAAGGTATCTGCATGAAAAATCAAGGCTATTTTTATAAGGTGTTATAAAAGAGATTATGGATATTTAAATATTTAAACTAACCTAAAATAAAACAAAATAACGTTGAACTACCCTCTATTAATTGTTTTTTTTAATTATGTTTATTTTTTCTTCTAATCATTATTAGTTATTATTATTAAGAATGGTGTTTTTTTATATCAAGTTTAGCTGCAAATATATAACGTTAATTATGTTTTATATGTGATGTTATCATTTCCAATGTCTCTGATGGTTGCAGTGATTGCGAAATCTGTGAGTTTTTTAATCTTAAATATGATTCATAAAATCAATATCAAACCCAAAAGTGAGGCCCACGACATGTCGTTCTAGGCAGCCCCCAGAAAATTGTTTAATTTTGACTAAATTAAGACTCTTTACTAAATATTAATTTTTATTTGCTTTTGATGTAGTAAAAATAACTTTTTCTAGTTTTGTTTAGCCAATATTATTTTGTTTTGTTCAAAAAATGTGTGTTTTTATTTTTTTACAAAATTTGTAGATATTTAAGTAATCTAACGGCCAAACCACTATATAATTGTTTCTGATAGCTATTCAGCCATCACCAGACCTTTGTCAAAATTGCTATTCGTTTGAATAATGCTACTTATATATTAATATAAAACAAATGTCTACCTAGGTATTAATCCTTTTTAAGTTTGATCTTGAGTCATCACTTTGAGAAAATGAACAGACTATATAACTTATTATTTTTTCTTAATAATAATAACATTTTTACCGGGTGAGTCTCAAAAATGACTTACCTCAATAACTTTTTTATTTTTTCAGATAAAAAACGAGACTTGGTATGTTAGTATATGACATAAATTAGGATTGATTGACGTATTCAATTGTTTTCGGTCACTTCCTGTTTCACCGGAAATGATTACAACTTTTGATTTTTAAATGACATTCTCGGAATTTTTTTACTTTATTCGATATAAAATGACACTCTGAATAGAATGACATATCATATATTTTTTTCCCAATAAGGGGCCGTCCTCTGCTGGAAACACTGCGACCTGTGAGGCCTATTGTGTTTGTCCCCTTTCTATACCTGCACCCATTCTCCTATCCCTGTGCCCTGCACTAACTTATGCAGTTCCTTGATAGGATAGGAGCATAGTTCCTCTGGTTCTAGCCTAGCTTTTCCAAATAAAAAGTGCCGCTTGCGATCCAAAGCCTCGCAGTGACAAATTATATGCTCCACTGTTTCAGGATCTTTATCGCAGAGTCTGCAGCAAAGACTTCTTGGATACAGGTTGAGCTTGTTCAGATAACACTTGACAGCCATATGTCCTGTCAATAGGCCTGTTGTAATCCGCAATTTATTCCTGCTAACCATTAGCAGTTCTTTTGCGGTTTTAGAGCTAGGTCCTTGGATAAAAGCCTTGCTGTGCCTGTGCCCCTGTCTGTTTCTCTAATGGACATTGTGCTTTTCCCTGATCCAGAGTTTTAGTGCACTACGAGCTATACATTTGGGTATTCCCAGTACTGGCTCTGGACCAAGATAAGATGCCGATGATCCTTGCCTAGCTAGCTCATCGGCTTTTTCGTTGCCTTGGATGCCGCTGTGGCCCGGCACCCAGAATAATTTAATTCTGTTCCTTCGAGCCAGAGCTTCCAGTTTACCTAGGCATTCCCAGACGAGTCTCGACGATACCTTTGGGCTCATAAGCGCCCCAAGTGCCGCCTGACTGCCTGAGCATATATTGTTGAGCTTATCTGAATAAGCTCTTCTATTGTTTTCTCTCGCACATTGTAGAATGGCGAAGATTTCTGTCTGGAATACGGTTGAGTGTTTACCCAAGGAAAAGGATAAACTTACCCTTGGTCTTTCCACAAATACTCCAGCTCCTGTTCCTTCAGCGGTCTTTGACCCGTCTGTATACCGAGTTAGTCCATCCTGAAGGAATGTTATATCTGTCCACATTCCTCGATCCATTTTGTTCACCTCGAATGGTTTGTGGTAGTGATAAAGAGGGGTCATTTGGTCCGATCTCATTTGGAGTAGAGGTCCCCCGATGGGATTTCCCATCTTTGAGTGACCTGTTTCTGTCCTATTTCCCAGAGACAAGACACTTTGTTGTCGATAGAGTTCCATTCTTGCCTCCGCCTGGATCACTATGTGAAGAGGCGGAAGGTCCAGAAGCGCCTCCATTGATGCAGTAGGCGTTGATTTCATCGCCCCTGTTATGCCCAGGCAAGCAAGTCTTACCAGTTTAAGTTAGGCCACCATACCAAGGATGCATATGTTACTGAAGGCCTCACCACTCCAGTGTACAGCTAGTGCGCCATCTGTGGTCTGAGGCCCCAGATTTTTCCATGAAGGCGTCTGACTATCGCCCTCCTTGTGACATTTTCCAAATATCAGTTTCAGGTCAGTTTGGTATCAAGCGTGATTCCTAGATACTTGACCTCCGCCGAGAGAGGAATCTCATCACCGCAGAGACTTAGAGGGCCTAGTCCCTCAAGTATTCTGCGCTTGGTGAAGGGGATTATTACGGTCTTTGTAGGACTAATATTTAGTCCCTCCCGTGTCACCCATGATTCCACAATCTTCAAGGCCCTTTGCATTCGCTCCCTTACTGTTGTGTTAAACTTACCTCTGACTAACACGACCAAATCGTCTGCATATCCCAGAGTGTTGAAACCAGCCCTGTTGAGACTATTAAGCAGTCCGTCCATAACGAGATTCCATAGCAGAGAGGAGAGAACTTCTCCCGTCACCCGGACTGCAACAGTCTCATTTAGTAGGGTGGTATATGCCACTCAACTTTTGATCATGCAGTCTATCCACCTGCAGCAGGTCTCCTCATATATCATATGCTAACTTTTGACATTTTTGCATATGGTTTATTTGAAATTGTAACATGCAGTTCGTGCCTCAAAATACCAAGTGTGTGGTATCAAATTATTTGTAAAAAAATGCTTTTTCCAAGTATGATAATGAGCCACCTTTGTTCTATTTGAAAAAATTGAAATATTAAAAATACGATTTGGGCATCTTTTAACTGGCCAGAACAAGACACGAAAAACATTAGATTACATCTATTTTTCCAAGGCTCCTTGATTAAAAAATTAGTGTTTTTAATACAGCCATAGCACCCTAGATTGAAATTTAAAATACGATTTTTATTATGCGAGAATGTCAAAAGTTGACATATGATATGTCATTCTATTCAGAAGGTCATTTTCTATCGAATAAAGTAAAAAAATACTGAGGGTGCCATTTAAAAATCAATATATACTAACATACCAAATCTCGTTTCTTTATCTGAAAAAATAATAAAGTTATAGGGGTGAGCCACTTTTGAGATGCACCCAGTATATAAGATATAAGATAAAAATATTTATTTCATAAACTCTCTTTTGTAGAATTGGTTCAAAAAATTAAGGATTTGGAAAGAGATCTGCAAGAAAAAAGCAGTTACTATAAAGAAAGAGAACTGAAAGCAGAATCCACTATCAATCAACAAATTAAATTGATAGACTTTTTACAAACAAAGGTATATTAGATGCTTGTTTATGTTAAATGGTATTATTTAATACAAATAGTAATAAATTATTGAATTTAGCTGGATGAGCAAAATCATAAGAAAAAGAGCATTGCAGAAGTTATTTTTGGATCGTCCAAAAAAGAGAATCAGCCACCTTTAAATTTAGCTATGAATTACAAAGATTTAGAATGTCAACTTACAAAAGAAAGGGAACAAACTAAAAAACTTAAAGAGGAAGTTTTTAAACTAAAAGCAGCTACGTTAAGTGAGGTATATACAGGGTGGCGCACCTCATTCGCCTCGGTTGATTATACGAAAACAGAAAGATGTAGAAACAAAATATTTTATGGGTATATGTGGGAAGGCAATGTGCATAATTTAAAATTATTTTGAAATGTACAGGGTGTGTCAGAACTAAGATCCATACCAAAGTTATAGTTTTTCTTATGGAACACCCGGTATTTTATTTAATTTTTGGATTCTCGGACATAAAATAAGGCATTTATTATAAGGGTTTAATATGTCTAAAAGCTTTGGTTTTTGAAATATTTAAAGATATTTAAATATGCATGCTATAATAAAAAGGTTTGTCAACACCTTGTACATTATTTTTCAGAATTAATTCTGGTACTGACTTTCAAGCCAGAGAAATAAACTTAACTAAAAAATTTGATTGCTCCCTTAAATGTATACAGGGGTATCAAAAATTGCTGGTCTATTTTAATTATTTATTTTACATAAAAACTTCGTTATTTCAAATGCAACACTATGTATTTTTTTAAATAAGTCGAAGCAGATTTAAATGCTCTTTCAAACTATATTAGGGTTTCCTATACCTATCTAGCTCAGACTTTGAATAAAAAGCGATTTTTCAATAAAATTGTAATCAAGATGGCTGGTATCGCCATGGCAATTTTCTAGTTACACTTTGTAGCTATTTTAAGATCGACATTAGTTTGTGGACTTTATTTAAATTTATAACAGGTTATTTTTATTTAATTTACCTACAATAATATTAATAAGTAAGTATTTATTATTTTATCAAGAAAAATGAAGCAGTATCTGCTGCCGGAAGGAATGCATATGTTACTAGTGATTTTATTTTGTGAGGACAATTGCTTGTTGGCCTGATGGGTTTATGCTCAAAGATATCCAAATAGGAATCTTCCTGATAAGCGTTTAGAAAAACTACTTTTCATATTTCGCAGAGCTGATGAAAAACCTATTAGGCAGAAACCTGTCTTTGGAAGTGAAGAAAATGAATTTGCCTTAATTGGTTCTTTTATAGTAAATCCAATATATCTACAGCTCATCCTAATATAAATCAAAGAACTACTTCTTTAGTTTTCTTGACACAATAATAAATGCTTACTTATAGTAGGTAAATTAAATAAAAAGTAAACTATTATAAATTTAAATTAAGTCCATAAACTAATATCGATTTTGAAAATTGCTACTAAGTGTTACTAGAAAATTGCCATGGCGACACCAGCCATCTTATTGAAAAATCGCTTTTTATTCAAAATCTGAGCCAGATAGGTATAGGAAACCCTAATATAGTTTGAAAGAGTATTTAAATCTGCTTCGACTTATTTAAAAAAATACATAGTGTTGCATTTGAAATAACGAAGTTTTTATGTAAAATAAATAGTTAAAACAGACCAGCAATTTTTGATACCCCTGTATACATTTAAGGGAGCAATCAAATTTTTTAGTAAAGTTTATTTCTCTGGCTTGAAAGTTAGCACCAGAATTAATTCTGAAAAGTAATGTACAAGGTGTTGACAAACCTTTTTATTATAGCATGCATATTTAAATATCTTTAAATATTTAAAAACCCAAAGCTTTTAGACATATTAAACCCTTATAATAAATGCCTTATTTTATGTCCACAAATCCAAAAATTAAATAAAATACCGGATGTTCCATAAGAAAAAATATAACTTTGGTATGGATCTTAGTTCTGACACACCCTGTACATTTTAAAATAATTTAAAAAAATGCACATTGTCTCTCTACATATACCCATAAAATATTTTGTTTCTGCATCTTTCCGTTTTCGTATAATCAACCGAGGCGAATGAGGTGCGCCACCCTGTATTATTTATATCATACTAGCGTGTACCAGCGACTTCGTTCGCGTTGTATTAACCATTTGTAAAGGCAGGCGGCCACTGCGAGCGTAACTAAACTAAGCTAAGAATATAAAAACAAACGGTAGCTAAACGAAAATAAGTTTCATCGGCCACTATATAAGAATATAAAAACAAACGGTAGCTAAACGAAAATAAGTTTCATCGGCCACTGGGAACGATTTTCGCTCAGTAATCAGCTAAGTTAGCTGCGTTTTCGTATTGTATCTCTGCTATCATAGAACTAATCGCTGCGAAAAATTCGCTGGAACCTGTCACGAACTAAAACGAGCGAAACTAAACTACGATTTGAATCTTCGTTCATATATTTTCGTTTAGTTTCGCTCAAGTGGCCGCTGATGTATTTAAAAGTATGGGAGCTGATTTTTACAAATCTTATCTTTGCTTGGCTTAGTTTAGTTTCGCTCGCAGCGGCCGCCCGCCTTAATGGTGATGATAAAGCAAAGCAAGAATTTCCATTAACTTAAAAACTGGATAAAATTTTCTCACATTTATGTCAGCATGAGAAAAAACAATATGGCGATATTATTATACAGGGTGTCCCAGAAATAAGTGCAAATATTTTAACTGGTAGTATAGTTCAACCCCAGAAACACGCCTATGAGGTTTTTCTTGCGAAAAAAAAATGTTGAAAATTTAAAATTTTTCATGACATTTTCCGGGAAATTTGAGAAAACTTTTTAGTGCCACTTGTTTATTCACCTGAGATTTCCCTACGGTGTATCTAAACCTTGCAGTGTTGCAACCTCCTATGTTATCCACATTCTACATAGTTCGGCAGAACATAGTTCTACATTTATAAATTCATAGACAAATTTCTACTCAAAAAATTAGGAATGTTAAATTTAATCTTTTATCAGTGCTCATTATTAATAATTATAAAGAAAAAACACATTAATTATTTTTAGTACTTACCCTTTCAATGAAAACTTAACAAAAACCACCGAAAATTAACTAAAACATTACGTTTATGACGTTTACGAAAATCTTTGTTATACTGCAAAATAACTTTATTTTGGAATAAATTTAATAAAATGATTCATATTATTCACAATCAGGTCGCAAAAAGAAATTCCTAAAATGTTTATCGTAATTTAGAATTCAATTCAAGAAATTTAGAAAACAGCCCAACGAATAATCGATTCATTTTTGTTTTGTTTGTTTTTTTTCATGTTTCTCTGTTTTATTTGAACCACTGTTTTACAAAACACCTTGAAAAGCGCACATTACTTTGAATACATTTCTGAATGAATAAATGTTGAGAATTATTGTCTCTTATCGCCACTTTACGAACTACTTTCAATCTAAGAAAATACATGTTTCACTCAACAATTATTGACAACGTATTTTGTTTTTTCGCTATTTTTTCGATGTATTTCGACAATTCCATCGACAGCCTAACCGTCAGTCAAGAACTGCCGCGTGTGAACTGGTCCTTTGAGTCGCCGGTCGTCGCGCCGTCGTGGCGGGCTTGCATCAGACGACGATGTTAAGCAACGTTGCCGTAGTTACAACAATTTAAAATTCAAGACATTCGAAGCAATAAAATTCGTATTGTAATGCATCTCTGCAAACTCCTCAGGTGTTGTGATTTTATGACTTACTTTTAACATATACTTTCTTGTCCCTATGGCAACACAGTGCGTCGAATTAACTGAAATCCGGGTAATTGGATGTATAGTCTGTCCAACGAGAAGATCCTTGACAGTGATAGATGTGTCTGTCATTTTAATTTCAAAGTAGTTTATTTTATTTTACAAAGAAATAAGTTGGTACAACTGGAACGCATAGCAGGAAATATTTAAAATTTGATTGACAAGATGACAAGTGATTACTTCAAAATATTGTGAAAAAAACTGTATAAAACTGAAAAAAGGTAATCCAGTTATTTTATTTAATAAAAAACGGTATGTGTTAATACAAAACAAACAAGAACAAGACACTACATACCAAAAAATATAAAAAGAACTATTATTTACTTTTAAGCTTTATGAAACTACCCGCATTTATGATTATATTTATCAATATAACTTATGTACAAATACAAATTTGTAATATTCCACCGGAATAAATAAAACAACATAGGTAAATAAAACAAACTATTTTATTAATAATAACTCCTACCAAATTTTATACCTTAAAGGTTGATTAATTAACTTTAATCTTAATTTTTTAAACCAGTACCTTTTGACATTATTTTTCTGCAGTACTAAAATCCATTATTTGCCTATCGTGTGATGTCGATATTTTACAGCTACTCCAGTTTTTAGTATGTGTTTAGTTTGATCCTTCTACCTTATACGAGATGCACTTATCTACGACGAAATTGTATACAAACTTTATCGATGGCAACTTCATTGGTGTATAAGACTTTCTGCCTGGGCAGCGAGTATTAACCATAAACTGTGCTCTGGGTCTACAGTTAATTTTCACTCGATTTTTCCTCCACTTGACTTCAAAAGACACAAAACACACGTAATAATACGAATCAAAATGCACCATCTTCCAAAACGCAGGGTATTTAACAAAAGTTGACACAAAATTATAACCTATAATTTGGCAAGAATTTGACAAGCGTCAAAAATGACAAAAATCTAAAGGCGAGTTCATACGCATCGGCGTCCGTTTATCGTTCATCGTTCCGTCAAACCAATAAAATTGAAATACGATCTGTCATTTTTTAAATAAACCAATAAAACTGGTTAAAAACAACAAGACACGACGCATGACGGATTTATATTTAAACCCATCCATAGATAACTTAAAAATAATTAGAAACTTTTTTTAGTAAAATAAATAGATTGGTATGGGACGTCATCTGCTTTTCTTCTGTCATCGTCTGTCGAAATCTTACCTGAGAAAAAAAACAGAGTATAGTTGGCGATATCTGCCGGCGGTTCTCAAAATGTTGCGATTATTTTTTTAAATTTTCAAAGTTAAATAACTCGGTTACTTTCAATTTATTTTAAAAATGGTAAAGAGAAAATATGTTTGTTTTGACCAGATCTACCACCCCTTAAAATATCTGCACTCATTTCTGGGACACCCTGTATAACTTGGTAATATTTGAGGGGTAGTTTTATCTCGTTGGAATTTGACTTTCGAAAAATCCGTTTG